CCATGCTGCCTCGTGGATTTACTGAGAAGATCAAATGGTACGTGATTGGTGAAATGACTTACTTCCTACCAAAGTGCCTGGCTCAACGAGTATGGATTATAGATGTATGTGTACCCACCCCATCGAGGGTCTTCTGCCCTGTTGGTCACAGAAGTGCTTTTCTCAGTTACACAGGAAACAGCAAGCATGGGGAAAGAACACAGGAATGGTACTAGCAGGATGCTCCATGCGGTAAGGGGAAAGTAGCATTTGCAGAGCTCAGGACTACAGCACTTCATACACTGTAAGTATTTTCCATAAATAATCCTATTTAACCAATACAGATGCATGATCTAACTGTTTCACGGATCAAGTTAGGGTTCCGAGAGGGTAAATAAGCTACCCAAAGTCACAGAGCTAGCATGTGGTGGATCCAGGACAGCATCTCGGTTTCCACAGTCTAAAGCCAGCCTCTGAACCCATGACCCTCGGCACAGCTTGTCCCACTGACCTGCTCACTGCACACGCATGTGCAGTACACCAGGCTGACTCGCACCTCTGACATCAGTATACACAGACAGTATTTACTGTGCCACTGGTACTCCTTGCCACTTACTTTTGCCCAAATCTGTTTCTGGTATTTAGCCATATCAACTACACCAGGAGCTGGTTTGTTGAAGCACAGTGTTGCTTTATCCTGTATCACTGAACTACCATTTGCTAATCCGGTCTCCTAACAGACCAGAATCCCATCCTGTCGGTTCGCCCCCACCACGAGCCGTGTTGTCACGGACACCTTACACATGCATCTTGTCCTACGTGGGACCCTCTAGACCTGGTGAGGAGGGCAAGCTGGCTTTGGGCTAAACCTCTTCCTGCCTTTGTGAATAAAGTTTTATTGACTTTAGCTTGCTCACCGATTATACAGCCTCCAAATCTACTTTCAGCTTCCAACGACACAGCGACACAGCATCAGAAGCAATGGCGACCGGAGAGCCCACAGCCCGCCTGGCCCTCCCTTCACAGAGGAAGCTGTCTCCACCTCAGGCTATCTCTCTGGGAGAAGGGAAACAGCTCTTTTCATCTCCAACACTGACTGTTACAATTCCAAAGTGCTGGTGCCAGGCCCCCACGGCACATGGCTGGGCCCACAGGAGCACACACACACAACTGAGCATCTAACTTCCATAGGCGCCAGAGTAGTTAGTACCTATTTCCTTGAATGTTGGGGGGTGGGGGGGAAGCCAGGGGGAGGACTGGGAGAAGGAGGCTGAAGAAAACAGAGCTCACAGGTGGGGCACAGCAGAGTTCAGAGAATTCAGAGAAGGACTTTAATATATACATGAGAGTCGATGAGAAAACTCTGGGAGACAAACTCAGCAAGCAGCAAGGAGAACTCCAAATGCTCTAGTGTCATGTCCAAAGTGACAGCTCCTCTGCCGCTGTTACTTACATAATGTACATACATAAGGCGATGCCACGTAAAGTTACGAATCAAAAAGTTTGCATGTTTTAAGGACAAGAAAACATGAACTAACAGTTATGTGTTCAATAACATTCAGCCCCCTACCCTGGCAGACACTGCTCCTGTTTTAATGAACACATAGAGGTGGGCACGGGACTATCAGACTGACAGAGAAGTCTGCTGTGACTGTGAATAGCACCAGCCTCCCTTAGCAGAACAACAGTCACAGAAAGCCTGACCTGCTCAAGCGCCATTCCCAGCAGCACAGGCTACTGTACAAGCCAGGCTCCTGCCCTCCAAGGGAGAGATGCTATCCCCAGACGGGCAGGACCTCACAATGCCAGCAGCCACAGGATTGCCCAAGGAACCACAAGCCAGCACTGTGCCCTGTGGCTGTGACCTGTGTGTACCCTAGGTGATCAAAGTGAGGACCAGAAGGCTTCTCTGTGCCGCATGCCCTGGACCCCGGGTGAGAACTAGGGCCCTCTGAAAACTCTGGCACAAGGAAAAAGGATGGAACACAGCCCCACGACCACAGCTGCCACACAGCCACAGCTGCAGTGGCACAGGTGAGAGGGCCTCTCCTTGCCTGCCAAAGTGAGCAAGAGCTGCCTGCCCGCAGGCCAGCCCTTTGGCAAACTTGGGTGTAGACAAAGACCTCTTGAAAAGGCTTAACCTGGCTAGCAGAGGCCCCAGGAGCGAGGAGGAGAGGGAAGAGGACGGACACTCACATCACCCTGCCCAGTCAGAACGACACCCCTTCCACTAACCTTCATTTTTCTAAGCTACAGGAGGCACACATTTAATTATTTGGATAACACACTAATGAAAGTAACTAAGAAGCCAATGAAATCAGCAGTCAAGAAATGCAGGTGCTGTGACTGGGTCCATAGCTCAAACCTGTAACCAGCACTTGAGGAACAGGAGGAACAACTCAAGTTCTGGGCCAGCCTGATCTATACCGTGAGGTCTAGGCTGGCTTGGCTAGCCTGTCTAAAGGAGAAAAAAAAGAAATTAAACTTGAGTAACAACAACACAACAAAAAAATATCAACAAGAAAAAAAGGCAAGAGCTAAATTCTTGTGTCTCCAGTTTGAGCACCTAGCGATGAGGGGCTGGGCATGTGAGATGGATGACAGAGCAGGCCCTGCTATTCTTGGGCATATTGGTTGTACACATTATATCAAACCTCAGTTACACTCCACAGGGGAGCAGAAAGTCTAAGCCAAACATCCTCAGACTCCATATTAAGCAAGATATCCACCATGCAGCTATCTGCTAAGAGTCACAACTGCAGGGGAACCGCAGGAAGGTAGGTCCCAGTTCAGAGGCTACAGAGTGACTGCTTATCTTCCCCTGCAAGGAGCCACCTCTGACCCAAAGCTACACCGTGCCCTGAGCCAGATAACCCCAGAGCCTCACAAGCAGCCAGATGTTAGCTGAGGAGGAAAACACAGGGTTCTGAGCGTAATGCATGGCTTGCCACCAGTCCTGGTAGCATTCATGAACTTGCCTTCCTTTCTCTGCTTTACCCCAGAGCTCGGACATCAATACTATCACAGGGAACACGTGTGGGATCAGCCACTTAACAACATGGAGAAAAGTACTTTGAAAGCCATCAGATTTAATAATAAAGTTGCTGCCACTTAATGGGTGCCTTCTGTGCCAGAGAGGATGGATAACATCATATACAGTACAGAAGGGGATGGGGGAATTCCCACAATGCAGTGCGGTCTGGCTTTGAACTGGTGAGCCTCCTGCCTCTGCCTGCAGAGAGCTGGGGGTTACTATGCCCAGCTATAATTTTTATCTTCTCTCGTTTCCTCGTGGACTCTGCCAGGTCCGCCGTGATCATCTTCATTTTACTGAGAAGGCACTGCAGTAGGCTGTGCTGCAGATCCACCACAGATGATTCCAAGCCAAACCTGCTCTCCACAGCCCCAGCCTCCTCAAGAATGACCATACTACGAATAACTATAATCAGTAATTTCAAACTTTGCATACTCCGCCCTAACATAGGAAAGTCTCCTTTCAGCACAGTGACCAAACTAGAGCAATAGATCAGTAAGACACGGGACTAGAATGCAGGGTTCCCCAGATTCCACTGGAGGGGCAGGGAGCGGGCAGAGGCAGCTTTCATGTTATTCTGCCCACATTGACCTATTCTTGCCAAGGATCAGGACCAAAATCCCTGGCCTTCCTCTTCCCCCACTCGGAGCAAGCAGAAGACTGAGAGAAAGGTGCGTGGTACTAGACATCTGGATGTAGTCTCTTTGCCTCGGGGCCAGTGAAAAGCTACAGGCCTGGCCGTTCTGTCCTCTGTCCTCTAGGCCCTAACCTAGCGACAATTTGTTAATCTGGTCGGGGGTCAGAAGTCTTAGTGGCTTCCCTCTTCCCGCTGAGCCTCTGCCATGCCCAGTCCTCGCACACTGTTCTTTGGTGCCTACGGTACCTAAAAAAACCAAAGTTCGTGTCTTTTTCCCAACGTGAGTCCAGCTAGACTATGATGAAACTCTCTCTGCAGCAAGAAGACAGTCCCTGACCCCTCGGGGCCTTAAACATTAGAGGTCAGCCTCTGACCTCGTGAGGCAGACACAGGCAAGCCTAAAACCTCCTCCCTACATACATCAGTGCCTCACCTAGCAAGTACGCTGCTGGCTTCCAAGCCCTCAAAGTGTCCCCCTCTCAGCTAGCCACTCCCCAGTGTCGACCTGCTCAGAAGGATCACGCCAGAAACATCTCGCCCCGAGGTGGGCCGAGGCGAGCCCTCCGCCCATGTGGTGGCTACACAACCAGGGAGGGCCCTTGCCCCTCGGGATCTGCTCAAGTTCACCGCGACCTCGCCGCCGGATCCCACGAGCCTGACCTTGTCTCAGCTCCGGGTCGTCCAGCACGTTGTAGGCCGCATAGTCGCGGACACCGTGCAGCCGAAGGATCTGCACCACGGCGTTGCTGAAGCCGCACTGGGGCTGCTCGGGCGTCCCCTTGAGGAACACCACCACCTTGTCCTTCTTCACCAGCGCGTCCAGCTGCTCCGCCTGGCCGCCGGAGCTCGCCGCCCGCACGCCGGCTCCGGGAAGGCCGCCGCCGCCACCCGCGACGCGCCCCCAGCGCAGCAGAGCCGCCGCCGCCCGGCTCAGGGATGCGCTCATGCCCGCTCGCTGTCCACCGCCTCTGCGGCCACCCCGGGGCTTACAGTGCCCGTGGTGTCCGGCCGGCCCACCGGAGGCTCTCATTGGACAGGCTCTGGGAAGAGTCTCGTGATTGGACAATACTGGCTCAATTCCACCAATCACATCGCTTATAGGATCCGCGTCCTATAGGCTAGCTAGTGAGCGTGGACGACCGCTTTGCGTGTTGATTGGACAACTCGGACGTCCATCAGTGAAGGACCTCAAGAGGCGTGACTATAGGAAGACGGCTTTCCTCTTGCGGGCGTTCGAGGCCTGTCCCGATACGCTAGGATGATAGGGTAAGCGCAAGGCGGGGCTTCTGCCGCCCGCGGCACGCCGGGAAGGAATCACGTCCAGACGCAGCTTCCGGTTCCGTTTGCGGTGGCCGATTGCTACGGTTACGCGGCCGGTAGTCCTGCGATGGCGTGCATCAGAGAGATGGTCAGCCTCCGCGCCTCACCAGCCGAGGTGAGCCGGGAACCTGCCGTGTCCTGGCCTGCCCGGGGCTTCAGCCTCGGACCCGCCATGCACGTGGACTGCCAAGCCGTGTCCTGTTTTTAGCATAAAATTATAATTACAGCGTATGTATGATCTGCGTGCATGCGTCTGCCACAGCGTGTGAGTAGAAGTCGGAAGACAACTTTGTGTAGTCGGGTCTCGACTTCCGCCTTTTATAGGGGGTCCAGTGATGGAACTCTGGCTTGCAGGGTAAGTCCCTTGACACGCTGAGCCATCTCCTGGCCTCTAGAATGTTCTTTATCGTAGAAACGTGTAAAGTGCTCTCTAGTCGTGGGACAGCTGGCTTTGGGGTCTCGGTGACCCTGGTGCCCACATAAACCCTTGTGGCTGGGGTCAGGAGGGTTTGTTGAAAGAAGTAGGAAAATTGGTGGGTTGCTGGGCCCTGTGGCCATTGTCTGCAAAGTGCCTTGCCTCTGAGGGGCTGAGACAAGAGGATCTGTTGGACTCAAGAGTTCTGAATAAACCCGAGCCATATAGCGAGACCTTTCTAAGAGGGAGAACAAAGTATGAGGATATATCTCAGTAGATGATGGCTTTCCTGGTGTAAGCGACGTCCTGAGTTCCACCCCCAAGCACATGCACAGACAGTCCTAAACGAGAGTGTTCTGTCAGTGAATTCCGGGGCAGGGGATGATGGCCCTTGGGTGGAATCCTTGCACGTCTGCTGAGGATGATGTAGAAGAGTGAGCAGGCGCGTCGTTTGCTCCGCTCTCCCCATTTTCTATATCGCTTGACGAGGACTTCTCCACCCCCACCCCCAAGAACAGAGCCCCAGACGGTCGGTGCTCACACCGCTAGCACGTGGAAACAGTAGGCCTCAGTGGCCCGCTCTCTAATCTGTAGTCTTGGCCCTGCGCTGGGTTGGTGGTACCCTAGAGCACACCAGACTTGCAGAGAAAGCATACTCCAGAGGAAGCTGAGGCATGCCTGCTCGAGAGCCAGCGGTCCCATGTGCAATTTTCCTCTGATAGGTCCTGGGTACTGTTGCCACGGTGATGATGGCTGTGCGGTGTCATTGTCGATCCACCAACAGTCAGAGCAGCTTTGCAGTCGAGATATTGTTTAGCAGACGGAGCGGTTTCTGTTGGACACTAAGTACTGCTACAAAACCTCGGCCTGTTTGCGCCTGGGGAGTGAATGTAAAAATCAGAGAGCTCACACGTGGGAGCCGTGGAGCCTGCTAAGTCGTGGCTCGGCGCGAAACCCGAGCCGTGCAAACTGAAGACAGATGGGACTCGCCTAGCGATTCCTTGTCATTTGTGTTGATTCCTGTTCTTTTTCTGATGGCAAGCCCCAAACTAAAATCTTGTTATTTCGCAGACCCTCTGATTCCAGACACCATACATAGACGTTTACAAGAAATGCGGAGATAAAAACAGCTGCTCCCAAAGTCAACCATTTGGGTCCTTAACAGCAGAGAGTCGGTTAGTCGCTCCCGGCGTCGATGAGCTTTTATTCATGCTTATACTGCTGTAAGTCGTTTTACTTTAAATAAATGAATAAATAAATAAATACTGGCAGTTTGCTTCTGGGAAACCGTGTGTCTTGTCTACTCCAATCCGTCTGATTGGCTTTGGTGTTCACGGGGTGAAGGGAAAGAGTTTGCAGACTGCTCTGGGGACCTGGAAGCGGAACAATCATGACAAACAGCATGTTGCTAACTATTAGAGGTAACAAAATTCCTGGCCGAAAAAAAACACAAAAAACCAGCTTAAGAGAGTAAGGGTTTACTTTGTCTCCCAGCGTGAGGGTGTAGACATCACGGCATGAACACATGCTGGCAGGAGCTTGAGGCAGCTGGTCGCATGGCATCCACAGTTGAAGGAGAGATGAATGCTGCTGCCTGGCTCCAGGTCCCCATCCTGCAGGGGTCAGCGGGGCCTCCTCCCTACTTAAACCTTTCTGGAAGCATCCTCGTAGACACATCCTGAATGATTTTATGATGACTGTAAATCCTGTCAAGGTGACAGTGAAGACAAGACTGAGCTGTAATACTGACTGTATGTGCACTTAGTTGGCCTAGGAAAGTCGTCAGATATGTAATCCAGCTGTCATATAACATTCAAGTAACCAACTGGGAAGATTGCCAAGCCCGTTTTTCAGAAATGCAGTGCCACTGGCTGGTCTTAGTGGGCACACACCTTTGATCCCTGCTCTTGGGAAGTGTAGCACATGGATCCGAGTTTGAGGCCAGCTCAGTCTACATAGTGAGTTCCAGTCAAGGATACATAATTTAATAAAGCTGTCTTAAAGTGTGTGTGTGCGTGTGTGTGGTGTAACACTTTTTAAGCTGTTGCTTCATCTTAAAAGTGAAAAAAGTACACTTCCAAAGCAGTCGTCAGAATTGTGCTCTGGACATGTATGTCGCCGTGGTGTGTGTGTATCCTCGGGTAGCAGGATGAGAGTTTGCTTTCAAGGGTCCTAGGATCTGGGTAAAACCACATATTTAGGGCTGGAGAGATAGCTCAGCGGTTAACAGCACTGGCTGCTCTTTTAGAGGTTCCGAGTCCAATTCCTAGCACCCACCTCTTGCTCACCACTTTCTGTAACTCTGGTTCCAGGGAATCCAACTCCCTCTTCTGGCCTCTGGGGTGCTGTATACATGTGGTACACAAACACATAGGCAAAACACTCTTACACAGTAAGCAAAAATTAAAAAGGGTTGGGTGGGCTCACACCAGGAGACATAGGTGTGTCTGACCCTGCTGTCCAGAGCTTTGAAGGTGCTGCCCTGAGAGACAGGTGGCTCTCCCGCTACAGGGGTGGAGCCACCAAAATTCCTACAGTAAAGATGGCTCGTAGGTCCAGAGCCCCACAAACCAAGCTGAAGCCTGACCCACCTCTGTGATACACTTAAGGAGAACATCACCTCAGCCCTGCCATTAACCTGATGCCCAGACAACACCTAAATGGCATGTGGAAACCCAGGCAGAGCCAGCCTTCCCAAGAGTAGCAATACCTTTTGAATTTTGACTCCCTGTCTCTCCAACACAGATAGTTTATATTTATTTTCCTCTTGGTTATGTTTTAATTTTTGTTACATTTCTTGCCTTGCCCTCAGAGCCTAGTCAAACCTGAAATCAGATCCTCCTGCCTTAGCTTCCTGAATGCTGGGATTATAGGTGTGTACTGCCATACCCTGAAGCTCTGGCTTTTATAAGTACTTAACTGATCTTAGTTGTGGGTAACCTATTCCCTACATCAGAGGATTCTGGCTGGCACAGGTCCTCCGTGCTTAGTCTGAACCAGGAGTAACTGCTTACGTGGAGATAGTGTACTGCAACTGGATTAGGTCAGCCTAGGATAGACCACAGAGAAGGTATACATACATTGTGAAGACCCGAAGTGCCATCCTGGGATTTGGAGTATGAGGGTGTGGTCCCGGGTCTAGTCCTAAGCATACCGAGTATTGGGTTTTTATTCTTGAGTTTTCCCACGCTTCTATTTTCTCTCCTTGTTTTTTTGAGACTGGCCACTGAAGGTTGTGTGTATTTCAAGATTTGCCCGAGTGGTGTGGAGTTGTAAGGCGGTCTGCTGCGTTTCCCTCCTCCGGAGCAGTTGCCTCCGTGTGAGTTTGTCCCGTGTACATTGTGAATTTCATTCTCCAAACAGCTTCTGTGTGCACAAATCCATCTGAACCTTACAGGAAGCCTAGGTGTGGCGGTGTGCGCCTGTCCTCTCAGCAGCATCGGAAACGCTGGAGTTACTGACAGGTGTGAACCACCACACCCAGCCTATATGTCTTAAAGTTGTACAACTGTCGGACTTTGTTTTATTGAGAAACTTACTGGACACCGAGTGCAAAAGGAAAGGTTTCCTGTAAAGTTTAGAATTAAATCGGGTGTTTGCAGCCGTCGGTGAGCCACCGCTGTTCTCTGATGCCAGCGCTGCCTCTCGCTTGCGGAGCTCCAGAAGGAGAAGCAGGGGGAGGTAACGTAAGGCGGTGCCCATACCAAGATTCTCCTACAGAGCCGACTGCGGGCTAACCCACCCGTGATAAAGCGCTCAGGAAACAACTGGCTACAAAAGCCACTCGCAAGAGTGCGCCCTCTACTGGAGTGTGAAGAAACCTCATCAGGCCCGGTGACCGCTATTAGCACTTTGTGAAGCTGAACCGAACTTCTGATTCGCAACCTTTCAGCGTCTGGTGCGAGAAATTACTCAGGACTTCAAAACAAATCTGCGCTTCCAAAGTGCAGCTATTGGTGCTTTGCAAGAGGCAAGTGAGGCCTATCTGGTTGGCCTTTTTGAAGACAGCAACCTGGGTGCTATCCATGCCAAACGTGTAACAAGTCTGCCAAAAGATATCCAGTTAGCACGCCGCATACGCTATGCAGGGTAACATTTCATTCTCAAAGAAAAAAAAATTTTCCTCTTCTTCCTGTTATCAGTAGTTCTGAATGTTAGATATGTTTTCCATGGGGTCAAAACATACCCAATTTTATGATTGGGGGTGGAAACGGGACAGAATCAGGTATTGGCAGCTTCTCCACGTTCACTTGTGTGTGAATTTTTAATATAAATGCAAGATATAAAACATTAATGCAAGCAAAATGTGTCAGTGAACACATTTCAACAGTTCAACTTTATAACATTTATAAATAAACCTGTTAGATTTTCCTGGACAATGCCAGCATTTGGATTTTCTTTTTAAGTAAATTTCTTATTGACGGCAACTAAATGGGGTTGGTAGCATTTTTTACATGCAGTAGATTCCGTCCATTCACTGTACCTTCTGAGTTGTCTTGTATGCTAGTACAAGTTTTTAATATTGTCTGTCCTCTGTGGTGCTGTTCCTCTAAGTTTGGTATTAAAATAATACACACACACACAATCACACACACACACACACACACACACACACACATATGAATTAAATGAGCACAATGGCTCAGTGGGTAAAAGGGCCTGCAAGCTTAGTGACCTGAAACCTGAGTTCCATCACCAGATCTCGTGTGGGTAAAGAATAAGCCAACTCCCCCAAATTCTTTTCCCCTACTGCCTGTTTAACATACAGTGCTGTGTTGCTATTTGGGGTTGGGGTTGGGTTTTAACAGCAGATAGTTTCTGTCACTCATTGGCCCCCAAAGACTTGTGAGGACGAGCCTAGACCACAGCATAAAAAGCAAGGAGCCAGTCAGTGTCAGGAGGCCAAGGGCCCCTCTGATGATCTCAGCCACAAGAACACTTACGAAGAATGTTTTCTTCTGAGGAGTGACAAGCCTCTGACTCCTGCTGAGTCAGAATTTCACTCAGCATTTCCCAAACCTTTTCGGCTGGATAATTTCATGTTTTGTTTGTTTGTTTGTTTGTTTTTTGTTGTTTTGTTTTGTTTTTTTGAGACAGGGTTTCTCTGTGTAGCCCTTGCTGTCCTGGAACTCACTCTGTAGACCAGGCTGGCCTCGAACTCAGAAATCCGCCTGCCTCTGCCTCCCAAGTGCTGGGATTAAAGGCATGTGCCACCACTGCCCGGCAATTTCATGCTTTCAAAACAATGTCACTGTCATGCAAGTCCACTGCACACAGGATTCCTCTCACCAAGAAAGAAGTTACCCCAGGGCTTCCTTCAGGGTGGATGGGTTAGGAATGGGGAGACAAAACTTTTCATTCTCCTTTTCAGAGAAGATTGGGAAAGGGGTCTTTAAACCTGTTTCTTTTTTCTGCCTGTTTAGCCAGAAGAATAACACTTGTTAACCCTACATGCTGTATTTTTTGAAAGTGTAGCCCGGTAAGATATAAAATGCCAAAGATCTTAATTTAAACAAACAGGAAACTCTTCTGCTTTTCAAAAATGCAGAGAAGGAGGGTTTTTTTGTTTTTGTTATTTGCAAAGACCTCACTAGCAAGTTGGGTGCTTTTATTGTCTCAGAGCAAAGTTAGCATTTGTGGGTAGGTGCCTTCTCCCCTAGGTGGACTGAACCCAGCCTTTCTGTGACATTTTTTGTGAAGCCCTGGTTGGTTCTACCCTGACCCTCCTATCCATCCCCACATCTGTCTTCACCTTCCACAGCTGCAGCCTGAGATAATTCATACACGTGCTAGACTACCTAGGGAAGCTGAAGATAAGATCCGGTCGGTCTCCCCAGCTCCCACCCCCAAACACACAGACACACGCACCCACCGCGCGCCTTGAAACTGGCCTGTAGAGCATTGTGACCCTCCTGCTTCAGCCTCCTGAGTACTACCATTAAAGGTGTACAGTACTACTCCCGGCTTTAATAAGAATTCTCTTTAGGAAATTGTTGCTTGTGGGGGGAAAAAAATCAAGAGTCTTCATTTGAAGGGCTGGGGAGAGGAAGAACTGAGCATTGTAGTGAGTCTCCTGCCTTATCCTGTAAGGCCAGCAGGGGGCGCTGGCTTGCCATCTTTACAGACGCTGGAGCAGCGCTGATAACAGTCTGGGAATCAGAAAGTGACCCAGATTTGTGCTTTCCCCCAGTGCCAGACCCTAGCCTATGGAGTGGTTAACTCACATGCTTTCTGTACGAGTCTCAAAGTGGCATATGTAGCGGGGTCACTGGGAGATTTAAAAGTTG